ATCAATTAAAATAAATAAATAATATTAAAATTAAAGTAAAAAATATTTATTTATTTAAAAAAATTAAAAAATAAAGATTAATTTAATATAAATTTAAAACTAAAAAACAATAGTTATTTTAAGATGAAGGACAAAGTGATGGAGATTAATTATATAGTATACTTCTATTAATTACTCCTATATTCTAGTATAAAGGTGAGCGTTATTTCTTGCGTCTCACAAAGGCGATAAGTGTGTTCCATGCACTTCAAGAAGGAGAGAGCAGCCCCAATGGTGTATATGTTGAAATTAAAAAAAAAACAAAAAAAAAAACAAAAAAAAAACAACAACAACAACAATAAAGAGAAAGCTTAATCATCCAAGTTGATATATGCTAATTGTAATTAAACTTAAATAATTAACTCGTGATGATCATATGATTGAAATAACATATTGGAGTACCCGGACTCATGACCATATGATTTTTTCTGAATAAAAGTTTAATTTGTCATAAGAAAATAACAAAGATGTCCCAAGATAAGGTTAAAGAGATAAAACTTAGTAGTACGAATAATGTACGTACCTGTCAAGCATCTCCAGATTCAGTAAAGCCTCACTAGGCCCCTCCTCTGATTTTGTCCGAACCACACCTCCAAAAAACGGCGCCATCAGGACATAACCTCGAACCCGAACAGGCCACAATTCCGGTGAACCAGCCCCTAACTGAACAGCCAAATGGTGCGCCATATTGCCACCCGATGAGTCACCTACCACAAAAACCCTCTCCAAGTCCACCTCGCCACTGTTGAGCCAGCTTTCCTCAACCACGTTTCTGCTCAAAGCTTGAGTCTGCAACCAAAAAGTAACATATAAAAATTCTAGTAGAGTAAAACTCAAAAATTAACTTAAATTTAAGAGTTGATCTTATTATTCTTTGAAGATTTTTCAAGATCTAAAGTGGTTTAACAAGTATATAATGTGTAACAAGTTAATAATAATTTAACATATAAAACAATTGAATTGTCTATCTATCAATTACTTGGGAATTAGATCTGTTGACTGTTATTTGGTTATGTATTAGAGTTTTATTGGCTAGTTATCTAGGTGGCACATATTTTTTTAAGAGAAAATATCCCTTGCCTGCAACCATTTCATGACACTTGCCGCATCCTCCATGGCAGCCGGAAGCCTGTTCTCTGGTGCCAACCTATAGTCTGGCGCCATAACCACGGCGTTGAGACCAGACGCGATGCGCAGGCAGCAGTTGTGGCAGTTAGGCCAAACGCGGGAGCCAAAGCAAAAACCACCACCATGAAGGAAAATGATGATGGGAAGCTTGGTAGGGAAAGGTGGTGGTGGTGGTGGCAATGTTGGCTTGTAGAGGCGGAGGTAGAGATCATGGTTTTTGTCGAACAGGATGTCGTTGAAGACAACAGATGTGTCGTCCACGACGGATGGCAAGAGGAAGTCTATGTTTTTTGCCCGGAGAACGGTGCCGTCGCTGTAAAGTCGGAGGATGCCCATGTAGTCTTCTACTAAGTGAATGGAATCCATTTGCCTTGTCTTTTTGTTTTGAGAGGGAAAAGAGTAGGAAAAGTCTGTTATATAGGCTAAGCGACCGATTGATAAAAAGTGAAAGATTGAGAAATCTTGAGGGTAATAATTTAATTTCAAGCCGATATTGGGATGATATTGGTATGTCCTATCTTAGCAAAAAAGGAATTTTTTAGGTTAAATATCAATTTTAGTCCTTAAATTTTTAATTTTGAATACTTTTAGTCTTTAAACTATTTTTTTTCACTTTTTTAGTCATTGAATTATAAAAAATACACTTTGTTATTTTTTTCATATGTTAGTCTATTAAATTTATCAATTTATATACATTTTTAGTCCCTGAATTTATAAGTTTAGAGGCTAAAAATATATATATTTAGAGATATTTAACAAACTAACTAACATAATGACTAAAAATGTATATTTTTCATAATTCAAGTACCAAAAAAGTGCAAAAAATAGTTCAAGTACTAAAAATGTTTAAAATTAAAAGTTTAAAATTAAAAGTTCAAAAATTAAAATTGGCATTTAACCCCTTTTTTTAATTGTAATATCAAGTAAGAAGTCCTCAACTTAAGATGCATGTCATGTAGATAGAGTGAGTTAAAAGATAAAAGAGGATTGCCTCATATTGAAATCCAAAATTTTAAAATAAAAAAAAAAAAAGATTTTTTCTTTGATTGTAATTGTTTGTAACAGTAGCTCTTATTTATACTGTATTACATGCATTTATTAAATAAATAAAATTTCATATTTTATCCAATAAAACAAAATATTAGTACGGACTAGTTTGCGTGATACATTGTGGTAGTGGATCATGAGAAATGGATGTGCATAAATATCAATCATATGATTTTTATAATATTCATAAGATTTTTTAGTTATAGTAAGCGTAATTCACTTAAATAATAATATTTTCATTTGTCACTATAAAATACATTTCATTTCTCTAAGTTTTGTCTATTATATTGCGAAGTCAACATCAATATATATCCCCCACACTTCTTGGCAAGTGGCCTTGCTAGTGCATTCTGGATCACCCCTAGATTTGCAGGTTCAACTCAGGCACTCGCCTTCCCCTTAATCTATTGTACGAATATGCCATATAGTTGTTGTCTTTCAGAAAACACATATCATATTACAAAGTCCACATTCTAATCTAATCAAAAAAATTAAGACATTTTTTTTGTAATGAAAAGAAGTTAGTGGTGTACAAAATTTATAATTATTCATCAGCATCTTTATCCATTAGAGTACAAACTCCATCAATTCATCAAATTTCATGTACTGTTTCTTCAGTTTCGAAAGAGTAACTCAAAGAACACCACTGACACTAACATGGATATTGTTCTGACACAAACGTTTTACCATATTATTAATCAGTGTTAAAACTCAGGTAGCGACAAAATAATGTGTCGGCAGTGGAGATGAGAGGGGGTGGCCACCGGCTGTGGTTTTTAAACTTGGCGTTGTAGTGATGCATAGAATGATGCTAAAAAAAAAGCGTGTCAAAAAGGCAATGAATATGATGGGTTTTATAAAAAGGTAAAATAAAAATCATCAGTCCTTTTGGGCAAATAATTAAAAAAAGGAATAAAGCTTTTGTTTTCCTTTGTATTTTCGAATTCAACTTTGGAATCAATTCAACAATCTTTTCAAATCCAACAATCAAATGGATTCTCAAAGAATTCTAATTTGTCCTGGCTCTTGCTTTTATCTTTTCCCAATTTTCATTGTTTCTATGAGAAGTGGAGTCGAAACTTTATTTTTGTTGATATGGACAATTGCATTGACAGCACGAACCTGCGGAGACTTTAGTGATACAGACAATTCCTTGTGGAGGGAGGAGGGAGGAGGAAGGAGGAAGGACAAAGGAGAAAGGGGGGTCGCGCTCTCAGCCTCACCTGAGAGCTCTTTGCATGCCGAATCTCATTTCGAGATTTGAGTTTTGTTTTTTTTCATTTAAGTTATATAATAAAAGATAATTTTTTTTATTTTATCTTTTTATTCATATATTATATAATTCAAAATTTTAAAGGGTGATTTAATGATTAAGAGTTTGTAATTTCATATTAAGAATCACAAATTCAAATATTGAATTAGGTGAGGAGAGATTTGAAGAAAAGAAAAGATTTTTTCTTTTATATAACTTATTCAGATGTATCAAAAAAAAAAAATCATATCACTTAAATTTAAAATTTTTTATTTTTTATTAAAAATATATTATTATTAAATTATTTAAATAGTTGGGAAATTTAAATTTTGTTAAACAAGAAAACTTGTGGTAGAATTGTAAGTTCTTCCGAGCTGTAATCCAAGCTTTAAGCAAGCGTACTCTTAGAAGATTTAGAAAATTTTGAGTTATTTAAGTTCCCTAAACGATTGAGATATTGAGTATTTTGCTTTGGTTTTCAAAAATTAAAAAAATTAAAAAAAAAATATTTACACCCATTTGGTTTGGGAGACAACAAAAATTAAGTAGTTTTATAAATTGAGAAAAATATTTACTAATTGAACCTTTAAAAAACCAGAAAAAAAAAATCAAAATTACATCATTTTAATAAATTTATATTAAAGGAACTATAATAACCTATTTTTTAGGCAAAAATGAAAGTATTTTGGTTTTCTCCATGATGTTTCATTAAAATAACATAATTTTAAAATATTTTTTTCTTAATTTTTAGAGTTCTAATCGATAGACATCAATCTCTTATAAATTAGTTTTGGATATTTGTTTAAAAGTTTTATACACAATAAGTTGACGGTTTTAATTCTTAATTTTAATTTTTAATTTTTAATTTTAATTGTTTGAATTTTAAAAACCAAAACTAAAAATCAAAAATTACAACCATATTAAACTTAAACTTAGATTTCAAGTTTAGAGTGTCAAAATTGAGCTGTCGCCAGATTCAAATATGTTTCATGCATGTGAATGTATAATCGTTAGAAAGTATAAGATGATTCAATCAGGACTGAAATCTTATTAATCTCATTGTCATTTCTATAAATAAAGAGGGCATTTTCACATCCACAGTTCTTGAAATATCCTACATTTTATTGAAATGTTACAAATAAGATTGCAAACCAAGCAAGCAATTCCCAGCTCCTATTGGGAATATCAAGAAAAATGTGAAGAATAATAGCAGTAACATGTAATCTGCAAGTAGAGTCCGAAATGAGGGGAGATTGCACTTAGAAACAGACATGGGGAGGAATAAGCTTCCCTGGATTCATGATATTGTTAGGATCTAAGGCTGCTTTGATTCTTTTCATTGTCTGCAATGCCTCTATGCCAAGCTCCTTTTCAAGATACTGGGAACAGAGAGGAAATACCAACAGGTTGGTAAGGATGATTCCATTAACATAAAACAAGAAAGATGGTTTTTAGAACTGAAACAGGAGGGCTGAATGTCAGAATGCTGAAAAGAAGTTAGTTAAGCATGAAGTTTGAAACCGATGCCTGTAATTGTTTGTCTTTCAGCAGGGTGACACTTAAAATGTGGGGATTAACTTTCAGGTGTAAGATAACAGCATGGAGCATCTGAACTACATAATGCAGTCAACGCAGAGTAATTTCTGAATGTCCTGTGATATTTTGTCAAAAGAAACTCCTTCTGGAGCCTCCAGATGGCCTTAGCCAGCAGTGATATGCACATGAATGAAAGTTTTATAACTGTTGTACTAAAAAAGCCTTTGCCCTGATAATTTGTTTGACAAAGCATTAGCAAAACCGTACTCTAAATAGAAGAGCATAGAAAAGTAAGAGTGAAATACCTTCATTTTCCCTGTCCCAACACCATGTTCACCAGAACATGTTCCTGCTCATTTATACAGAGAGGAGTTTTAACATCAACACTAGTTCAACAATAAAGAAGAATGAATTTCAGTAGCAATGGATCTTAGCACTCTGTATGAAGAGATGGAGAAATGAGAAGTGAAAAGGAATGAAAGTGAAGTTTACACAAAAAGTTTGTGTACCTTCCATTGCCAAAGCTGTGTAGACCATAAAGTGGTTAAGCCTTTCAGCTTCTTGCCGCTCTTCTTCTTTGCTAGGATCAAACAGAATACATGTGTGAAAGTTCCCATCACCAGCATGAGCAATAATTGCGCTGAAATTATGAAAAAGGGAAGCATCGGCTAACTATAAAAATCATGGGGAGAAGAAGAAAACCATAGCATTTCCTAAAAGGAGCATTCAGAGCATACCAAACAACTGGTGATGTGTCCATCTCTGCCCTGGACTTCGCGATTAAATCTGCAAGGTTTGACAAAGGAACACAAACATCCTGCAAAGAAAGGGAAGAACATGTTGACATGATAACCCTACGAACCAAAAGAAACAGAAAAACTCATGGAAACCATTTTATTACCTTAAAGAAAAGGCAATTTCAGAAAAAAAACAACAGAGACTATGATTATAAACTAATTTCTCACATTAAGTTAACTCACCGTAATCATTGCCTCAAAACCTGGTTTCATTGCATAGCATGCCCAGAGTGCCTCTTTCCTTATCTGGAATGACCAAATAAATCAAGCAAGATTGAGAAATTTGCTTAAAGAATTATCCACAAAACCATGACAAAAACAAAACACTCTTGTACCAATAGATCTGCAGAACTTAAGTTAACATACCCTCCAAAGTTCCTTTTTGGCTGCAGGATCTTCTGCAAAAACAAAATCTGAGCCATTGTGCTCAGACGCAATCTTTTGAACAATTTGTGCTTGCTCACGTGCATATGCCTCTAACAAAAAGCAAATTAGGAGCTATGATGGGTGAAAAAGACTAGAAGTGGAATTAACTTAAATAAAATTCTTATTAATTTTTCAAATTAATTTTTTGAGAAAAAATGTACAATAAAGTAACAAAAATAATTCATTTTATGCAGAGACAGCAAGGCCTTAGTCTATGAGCTAAAGGTCCCAGGATTGAATCTTCCCACTCCCAAATCGTTGTATCTCAATAATAAAGTATGTATGCAAAGATTTAGTAATCAAATTCTCTGCAATTGACAAATGCATCAAGCATAGAATGACAAATGCATCAAGCATAGAATGACAAATGCATCAAGCATAGAAGAAATAGCTTGGGTGAATTTTGAAGGGAAAAGGGTTCAATCTCACCGGTGCCAACAAATTCAAACATCAAAGTGGGAACTTCAGGTAAATTCTTCCCATTAGCAATATTGACAGCCCTTACTTGTATGCCATCCAATAATTCTACCCTTGAGACCTAATGAGCACATATAGACATCAGAGAAAGAAAATATTTCAAGTACATAATACTCGCATGTAAAATCATTATTTGTATGTTATCCAATGGTTCTACCCTAGTGACCAAATGATCACGTACAGATATCAGAGAAAAAAATATTACAGGGAATAAAGTTTGCTTGTGAAATTGCTGATCAACCAAAAAAAATAAAAAATGCTTGTGGAATCCCACCTGTATACCAGACAACATGGTTGCAATAGCAACATCTGCTGCATCCTTAATTGATGGAAAGTTACACATTGCTACCTGTAATATTAGCAAATCAATTAGACAATGATTAAAAACATATTGATCCTATCATTATGACTTTCATCTGTAATCAAATAAAGGTACCACTGAATGCTCTGGGAGCTTCTGAAGCCGTAGGGTCACTTCTGTTATCACACCTAGTGTTCCCTCACTTCCAATCATCAAGCGAGTCAAATCATACCTAAAGATATGCAATTCTAATAAGAATAACAGAATCCCAAAACTTAAGAATTTTAACAGTTAACCCCAGAAAGCACACCAAACAAAGAAGGAGGAGAAACAAGGAAGAGGAAGGTGGAGGAGTAGGAGGAACAAGGAGAAGGAGTAGATTGAAGGCAAGAAGAAAACATACCCCGCAGCACTCTTTCTAGCACGAGAAGCTGTCTTTACAATATCTCCATTGGCAAGAACTACCTGAGATATGAAAAGTGTAAGTAATTTATCATCTCCAATAAAATAATACACGGATGTGAAATAAACGAACCTTGAGATTGATGACATTGTCACGCATGGTTCCATACCTATGTGCTAAAGCCAGATCATTAAATTAAATAGCAATAACAAAGATGACCATAAAAATAATACATCAATCATTTCTAATTTTTTGGGAAAAAATCATTTCTATTTTTGAGATTGAGGTTGATGTAAGTAAAGAGAAGAAAGGATTCAAGCCTTTAAAACTCAAAAAAATGAAAACTAATAAGTATCATAACATTAATTTCTTGCCTTTAGCTTGACCAAAAAAGAAGATGCAATTTAAGTAGTGCACAATACATTGACGCCAACTTATGCACAGGATGATTATTTTTATAACTTTTAGGGTGATGTAATTAATTAAAGGTTATTAAGAAATAATAAAAGTTTCTTTTTCTTTCCTTTTAGACTATTGTGAGCAAACTCACAAATAAAAGAATATCAACTTGATAACAGCCAGGGGAAGCATTGCAAGTGGCAACTACCTCACAGCTAAAGAACCAGAGCAACGTGTAGAACACATTCCCCCTATGCTTGCACCAGGCCCTGCATGTAAACATATTTGCAGAAGATAACATCACTTACAAACTAATGAAAGTTATATATCAATGAGCATACCACAACAGAGAATAAGGTATTTTCCAAAAATTCATCAGGCATATAAGCAAGTAAGAAGACAGACTTCTTTCAGAGTTAGAGAAATCTGGGATGTTTAACAATTAAGATATTAGAAAGAAACTACGAAAGTAAGAAAAGAATCTCCTAGCATATTTCCCATTTATTTCTTTAAAAGAAACATTATAAGGACAGTTCATAGTAATCTGACCTGGATCAAGAGGAAAAAATAGACCATATGGCTCCAAGTATTCATTAAGCTCTATCCATCCAATTCCAGGCTCAACAACCACATCCATGTCCTCAATATGTAATGCTTTAACACTCTACAAATTGAAGAATTAGTGCAGCCCAAACAAAAGGAAAGAAAAATGTTCAGAATAGACTTATTTATTTGTAAGTTAAGCTATAGAGATATATCCTATAGCAATTGTTCAATTCAAATGAATAACAGTCTACAAGACATGGAAAAGCATACCTTCATTAAGGACATGTTAATGCAAACACCTCCATTTGGAGACAAGGTCTGACCCTCCAGTGATGTAGCACCACCATATGGTACAATAGGAACCTGACCATAACACAAATGACACAAACTAAGTCCTAAAAAAACCTAATACTATTTTGTTATTCTGATAGTCAAATAAAGCAAAAATATAAACTAGATGATAAAGCATGTCTCAGCTCTATATGGACCCAAATTTAAGATTAGTAAGAGAAATCAATCACCAACTAAGATTATATGACCAACAAGCACCCAATTTGCAATTTCCATTAAGTGAAAACCAAGATAATTAATTGAAAAGGCAAAACAGTAGGGCATCTTTCATTTACATGGATAGAAGGCAGGAAACACACCTTATGTTTGTTACAAGACTTGACAATCTTAGAAACTTCCTCCTCTGACCTGCAGATACAAATTGCAAATTGGTGAATTTGGTGAAGAAAACAATGACATAATGATTTTTAATCACATTTGCAAACCAGAACCAAAATTGGAGACAAAGGCTTTAAGATGTTGCGATCTTTCTCTTAACTCCTTTTCAATTACTGCTCTTTTTTCCACATTATGTTCATAAAATACATTATGAATGCTGTGGATTGGTTCAAATTAAAAGGTTTGAGACTTAAATCCCTTTCAAAAATCCACAATCAACAATGGAACGTTCCAGAATCAATACAATTTGGTTACAGATCCAAATACATAACTTCTAAAACAGAATAGTTAACAGGAAAACCATTGCTACAAAGCAAATTGGTGAACATTTCAATAACAAAAGATGGTAATTTACAATCACAAAAAACTGATACAGAAGACATGATCTTGTCTCTTCAAAACATTCAAATGCTATATAGAGAGGAATTAACTTGATGATTGTACATTGGAAATTAGTTCCTCTTAAATTTATGTGTCTTCTTAAATTCCAACAGAGAAAAGTATCCAAAAAATAGATTTCCACTTTCCTGCATGTTTTCCATACTATTGCACTGACAGTATGAACTCAATATGTTATCACTAATTTCTTGATTTTAATAATTATCTTTCCCATTGATTCTCATTGCAACCAATAGAAAAATGATATTAAAAAGAAAAAAAAAAATTATCAACCCAAGGGCATCTACATTTATCCCAGCTGCACTCCAATGAACAAGTAATTGAAAATGATTCTTAAGGAATAAATGTTGAAAATGAGTACTCCTACGGCTACATTTTGAATGCTCAGGCCTCACATCATGCGAAGTAAAACGTGTCAACTTACACTTTGCCTTTGAAAATCACGATGCATGATTTCAGATTTCAATTAGAAAGAAAGAGATAAAGAAGCTCATAAATCTAACTGAAACAACTATCTCAACTAAAAGGAGAAGAAGCAGGGCGATTTCAGATTCATCTCACCTTGGAAAAACAACCACATCGGGTATATTTACTGCTTTGTGGAAGCTGTGTTGTGGCTTTCCATGGAAGAACCTTTCATCATGATCTGTGGTCATGTTATCCTACACAGTTTAAAAGTTTCAAACTTTCACTTTATTGTCTAAAATTCTGACAAATCAAACAAATTAAAACGGAGTTAAAATACTTGACAAATAGCCTTCAATTCATTAATCAGCTCTTGTGGAACTGGCTTGTAAGATCCCTTCACCATATACTCAGTGCTCCCTTTTCCCCCAATGCTCATGCCCCTGAAAACCCAACAAGCTTTTATTGAAATAAACACAAAAATAAATTCAAAATAAGATCTTGCAATATCCTAAATACCCATCCATCAGTCTACTTGCAATATCAATCAGAAAGCAAAATACATAAAAGTTGTTAATCACCAATGAACTCAACACTATCTTTTAGTATTAACATAGAAATTGATAAGATACCTGGCATCTTCACAGAGAGAAGGCTGAGATTGGGTTTGAACAGCAAGGTATCCTAGTGAAGCCGCCAGAGCCAGAGGAAGCAGAGAGCTTGACCACAAAGAGAAGGACCCACGAGTTTCGGGTGGAGCGTTGGTGGGAGCATTTAGGGAACCAAAGTGAGATTTCTGAAGATGAGATGATGAACGGAGAGTGTTGATGAAGTGGGATTTCGAACATGAACGTAGGCGAGCTATCCAGGACGGGAACGCCATGCTTGTTCACCAGAGTGAGATGCAGCACTCCGGACTTCCGATGTCCAAACCTCACCAGAAGAATGAATTTCTTAAGTTTCTGCAACGATACATTTAGACTTTGGGTGGCCAATTGCATGCCATATTTCTATAAAAAAATTATTAAATGTCAATTTGAGTCCCTCAATTTTAAAATTTTACACAGTTTTGGCTCATCAATTTTTTATGCATTTTTTTAGTCCTTTAACTATAAAAATTTATTTTTTTAGTCATCCATAAGTTAATTTGTTAAGTTGTCTATGTATATATACATTTTTAACTCTTCAAATTTAGAATTTTTCACAATTTTTATTCTTCAATTTAAAAGTTTAGAGATTAAAATATATATATATATATACTTAACAAACTAATTGATAAAATGATTAAAAAATTATATTTTTTATAATGAGGGATTAAAAAGTGTAAAAAAATTAAGAACTAAAACTATACAAAAGCTCAAAGTTAAGGGACCAAAATTGACACGTTTAACTATAAAAAAAAAAATTAAAAAACAGTATTTCACTCCTTTTACTTTTTACATTTTGCAAATTTATTTTCATAGAGTTTATATACTTTACAGTGTTAACATAGCTTCCACCGTATGTATGTATTTACTTATTTATGAGTAATCTTAACATGCACCTTGTATTGGTATAGTGCATGTATATTTAAAAAAATTATACACTTAACTTTAAAGATGATATTTTCTTATTATAATGTATGAGAAATAATTTTTGTACAACTATTTTGTCCCACTTTTTTATACAATCTGACGTGTCATTTAAATGATTAATTCTTTTAATTCATGTAGGACCTGTGATATTGAATGCATTAATTTATTTAATAATACGTGAAAATTGTATAAAAAATAGTATAAAAAGATTATTCCTATAGCACTACTCATAATGTATAAATGTATCTTTAATATAAAAAATAATTGATATATTTTTTAATTTAATTCACTTTACAATATATTTATTAAAAAATTATTTTTTTTAAATTTAAATTTATAATAAAAGAATTTAATTACAAATTTTAATAACTAAATTATTTGATATTGACAAATAAATTAAATTAAAAGATATTTCAATTATTTTCCTTAATATAACTGTTTTGAGTTCGTCTTGGATATTGCTGGCAAAGCAATGGATACTCTAACTATCTAAAAAAAGTAAGATGGTGGTGTTAAGGAAAGAATCATCTCATTAGCAATCTTTGATCTCCATTCAATTATCATGAGATGATTCTTTCCTTAACAGATGGCACATTATCACAGACACCTAATGAAATAGATTTAACGATACTATATGCTATTTATATTGGTTGTGATTATATATTTTTTATATTTTTTATATTAAATTTTTAATTTTTTTTTGTCTTAACTTCAGTATTTCCTTTATTTTTTTTAGTTATTTCACTCATTAAATAAGAATGTTTTTATCTAATTGTTCTGTTTTTTATTTTTAAAGGACGATAAATGCACTTATCACAACATTAGTGTTATTACTCTATCCTATAAAACGATAAGGGTTTCTTGGCCTTTAGTATGATAAAAAATTGGGTTTCTTTAATAT